TATATATATATATATATATACAGATAATTTGGTTTTGATTCTTATTAAAATTTATTTGAGAGAATATATGCATAATGCAAGAAAATACAGTAGTGCATGAAAAAAATAATTCAAGCTACAATCTCGGAAAATAAATCTTAATGTTTTCAATAATTTTCATCATGTTTTTGCTGGAAATGAGACCCTTTCTCTCTTTTTAAGATGTGATATGAAGGACATTGTTGTGTACCATTGGATCTATGGACATCTGGCTTGCAACATGTCAGTAAACTTCTCAAAAGCTTTTAATCTAATGGGAATGTAGTAAGTGTTCTTGGAGGTCTCTCTGACGTCAAACAGATGACTTGTTTGAGTGCTTAGTTTCCTTGGAGAGTCACGTTTGCAATCCATTAGAATGTTAGTGATGAAGAAACATACATGACAAGAACAGAACGGAAGGAAAAGTGTAATGCTTTAAATGGATGGACATTGCTGGACCATAAGGTGACCAGCATGTGTTTGTGTGTACACTTGTGTGTTTTTTGGGGGGTAATAACAGGGTTTAGTATTCTCAGTGCTGGGAGGAACCTTGTGGTCGAAACCTGCGTGTTGGAGCCTGTTGGAGACGGCGCTCTCCCTCTCTTTCTCTTTCTAAAGCTAGCCTCTCCGTCTCTGTCTGAACATGTCCTGGCTTAACGGTAAACGTTATGGAATTCACACAGGCCCCTGTACATTCATCCTGTCACTTACACAGCCTTATTGTGTCTTTTGTCTCTGTCTAATCCGTTGAGCAGGCCCACGCGCGCATGAACTCTGCAGAAAGCACTCAAGAATTTAAGTGGAGAAAGACAAGAAATTTAATGCAAGATACATTCTCTGAAAACGAGCCTTAATATCTTCGCAATATCTATGCAAATTAGCTTCTCCGGTAAATTTATCTTATTTTAAAGAAACACTTAAATCCTTGTGTTTATTAAATATTTTAGCTATTTTTTCAGCCACCTCAGCTCTAGTTAATGTGTAGTGTTTAGATCCATTCCACAGATTTTGCAAAAAATCACTGCAAGTTTAGTCTATTGTCTATTTAAAAATACTCACAGGGATAATTCACTCAATAAAGTGTTGTTCCAAAACCTGTATAACTTTCTTCCATAAAACTGAAGAAGAAGTTAGAAGTTTAACAGAATGTTAAACTGCTGCTTTTCTCCATGTAATGAATGTGGATAGGGACCAGGGACGGTCAAGCTCTAAAAATACCGAAAAAGTACAATAAAAGCATCGTAAAAGTAGTCCAAATGGCATGTGAACTATTTTCAAAGGTCATTCAGTGAAACGGATTCAAATTAAGTTTGGGATCCACTGAAAATCTTGTCACTCTCCTTTTTATTGTATGGAAAAGAGAAGCTTGGACATTCTGGCTTATATTTCCTTTTTTGTTTTACGGAAGAAAGAGAGCCATACAGCTTTTGAAAGACATGAGGGTGAGTAAATGACTGTAGAGTGTCCATTTTTAGGTGAGCTATCCCTTTAACAGAAGAAAAGGAAATTGAATAAAAACATTACATCATTCCACACAATATGCAGGGCTGTTTAAAAGGAGCATTACCATTTGTCTATATGTGTGTGATCATGCGTGCGAGTTGGTAAGAATGCAAGTGAAAGAGAGAAGGTTCAGACATAAGCACAGCCAAATGAAAACAGCGAGAGAGACAGAAATAGAGTGAGAAGCAGAGAGGGGGTGAGGCTGCGGTCAGAGTCAGGACCGCTGGATTATAGAGTATGACTTCTGCTGAGTGCAGAGAGATGTGAGGAGTAACGGGGTGAAGAGGAGACATTTGAGAAGTAAATGTCTGCTTTATATAAAATGAGTTGCCAAATAAAAAGAAAAAAATCCCCTTGTTTTTGGCACCATTCTTAGGGAACTTCCTGCCCTTACTGGACTTCCTGTTATAGTGAAACCACAAGGGCTGGTGAAGTTGTTGATTTTAGGTTGAAGATAAAAGAGGTATTTTCTTGCAAAATGAGGGGAATGATGATGTCACCTTTCAAATAAAACACCACTACACGTCTGCGGCCTGTTTTGTCCCAATACTCAGGTGTCAAAGGGACTCTTTAGTGAACTGATGTGTTTGGAGAACCAAAGCTAATAAAATATAGATTTAATCGAAAATCATTTTATTTTATTTATTCTTTTTTTGTAGCGATCCCTGGCATTTATTCCTACTAATCTACTAAGTAACGTTTCTGTTAGTGGCCTCTAAGAATTCCTTAGAGAATGTTGACATCATCAAAATTACATCATGGCTCCCAAATGTGGAGAGATGTTTCCCGTTCCCTCCCCCTTTCAGTTACTTTTCCTCACATGCCCACGTCTTGTTTGCACAGGTGGCGTAAGTAGACTGACAGATCCAAAACAGTTGGGATGGTCATTTGGAACAACAGGGTGTTATTTCTAGCAATTATCTGCCTAGAGCATTCTCCAATTATCACATTAAATGTGACTTATTTGTCAACACCGATGCATTTCATTTGCATTAGATACAGTGTTCTGTGTGACATGTTATCCCATTGGAATAATAGTTTTGGACTAAATGAGTGACTGATTGAATGGTGAATGTCTAATTACAGCTATCTTTCTCTGGTTCCTCCAGGCAAAGGGGCGGAGAGATGGGATCTCTTCATCCAGTGAGAACCCTCGGCCGGCTGTCAGGAGCGGGGCAGATGGGTTGGGCGTGTCCTGGCAGGGTCCACGTACACTGGTGCTCCATAAGAACTCTCAGGGCTTTGGCTTCACACTACGTCACTTCATCGTTTACCCGCCAGAGTCCGCCCTGCACACCAATCTCAAGGTGAGGATTTCTGCCAACTATCACAAAATCAGGCTACAAAGTGTGGACAGCCCTGACTTGCAGTCAATTGACAGCTGAAATAAAACATCCCTGTCTCTCAACTACAAAGAGTAAGTTGTGCTCTAGGCCTGTGCATTAGGCCTTCAAGGACTTTTATCTGTAAAAATAACCACTTTGTGATGAAGAGCCTTTTGCATGATATTAGGGCTCAAGAAATATTCTTAAAAAACTGGAGCAGTTTTTTTCAGACTCTAAAATGCCTTTTGTTTTAAGGGCCATACAAGCAATAGTTGGTCCACCAAGGACTTCACCTCACAGAGAGCCAGAGTGGAATCATTTTTCCTTTAGCTCCTTTTTCTAAAGAGAAGAGGAGGGAAAGACCAAATAAACAGTTCAGGAGAGATGAACTGTGTTCTGCAAATGCACATCATAATTAGAGCGAAAATATCAAGGGCTTATATAAGGAAAGCCGTGAGATATCTAATCATGTTCACCATGTTAAATGTGGATATATGCAGTTAACTTACTTTTTTAATTTTTTTAAAGAGCATTTTACCTGATCTGACACTTAATTATTTTTGTTGATGTTATCTAATGTGGTCAACTTGATTGTCATATTTAGTAATATTTTTTACTTCTATAAAACCAATTTACATTGTTGCTGCACAGAACAAATTTTTTTCAGTGTACTTTTAAGTGTCTTATTAAATATAGAAATGTAGGCCTATTGAAAGCATGAGACAAAGTATCTTTATCAGTTATATACATTATAAATGGGACATACACTACCATTTGAATGTTTGGGGTCAGTGAGATGTTTCAGTTGAGCAAGGACACAAAATTGTTCAAAATGATGGTAAAAACATTTATAATGTTACAAATGTTACATTTCTTGTTCAAATGTTGTTCTTTTGAACTTTTTATTCATCAAAGAGTCCTAAAAAATATTTCAACATTGATAAGAAATGTTTCTAGAGCAGCAAATCAGCATTTCAGAATGATTTCTGAAGGGTCATGTGACACTGAAGACTGGAGAAAAGATGCTAAAAAATTCAACATTGCCATTACAGGAATAAATTACATTTTAAAATATATTCAAATAGAAAACTGAGATTTTAAACTGTAATAATAATTCACAATATTACCGTTTTACTGTATTTTTGATCAAATAAATGCCGTTTCAGTGAAAATAAGAGACTTCAAAAAATAAAAATAAATAAATCTTGCCAACCCCGGTAGTGTATTTTATTTCCATATTTTATTTAGAACGGGCTACAGAAGTTTAAACGGTGTGTGTGTGTGTGTACATGATATTGGAGAAACAAAGCCCCATTATGATTGGATATGGCATCTCTTCTCTGAGAAGCTGCTGTTTCTTTCCTACTCAAAGGGCCTATTTTGTGTTTGACTGGTACCACACGCGCTCTGGGCTGGTCCAGGCCGTACCAGGGCTGCTGGAATAATGTGTTCTGGTCCATTCACTGTTCCCAGTGTCCACGTGGTCACATGACTGTGTGGCACTCTCCATCTGTCACCCCACCAGCTCCAAGTCAATGCACACGTGGACTTTCATTTTGATCTGTGGGTTGGATGTTGATTATAAATCTTAAAGTTGTGGTCACTGTCCGTCACTCTCTACCCATCTGTTTGCCCCTCTGTCTGTCTTTCTCCCGGGACGGCAAAGCCTCAGTATTGTGTGAGTTTGTTAGGAATGAGCCCAGTCAGCGCAGACTAAACATTGGGCTGCCCACTTTAAACTGCCTGATCAGCGTTGCGTGTGTGTGTGATTTGAGCCTCTGGTTTGCAGTCTGGTTATTTTGTGAAAGCTGTGCATGGGTTATCTAAACTGTGTCTGTTGTAAATAAAGATACAGAGTGAATATCATAAAGACTATGTCATTTCCTGCACCGGTGTAAAGATTAATGTTGTTGCGTCTCTTGTTCTTGCGGAGGTGTGTTTATGTGTTTGTGGCTAAAAGCAGCACATTCACTGCTAAAGTGCTCCATTTTTCCCAGTGCTGATGACCTCTAGTGCTGGGACAAATTCAGTGTCGATATCAGTTACATGGTAGAGATCAAACCAATTTATTGAGAACTGTTATAAAAAAATAATAATAATAAAGTTATTTCCTGTTTTTGTTTTTTGTTGGTGCTTAATATGATGCATAACTCTGAGGATAACTATTGACTTAATTCTTGTTGCACACCAAAGACATAAAAGGTATAATTCACCCAAAAAAAGAAAACTGTCATCATTTACTCAACCTGATATTGTTCCAAACTTTCTTCTCATGTTTTGCATATTTAAGAATGCTTCAAATCTTGGCCACTCTTTTCAATGACAAATAAGCAGCGTAAAACTATAAATATGAGGTGTATAATAATAATAATAATAATATATTTATATATACATTACATTATACGTCATATATTATACATATATAACATTATTATTATATAAAATATTACTATTTGAAGGTTTAAAATCTCAGTCCTCATTATTGTAAGTGCATAGAAATTAGTGACTAGCATGATTATTCAAAATGTCTTTTTGTTTCATAGTAGAAAGAAAGTCATAGTTTTTAAAAGTGATATAAGCGTGACTAAAAATGACAAAACTGTAAAATGAAACAATAACTTTAATAGGCTTGATGAGCATAATTTTTTTAAATACTCCAAGACTCCACTGTCATTTCTATTATACGATTAGTGGAGTACAGTATATTAAAGATGATAATAACTCACTTACGTATCTTGTAAATTATTAAACCATTAAGTTTAAGGCCATGTAGTAATTTTGCTATAATCTAACTGTTTTCTTATTGTTTCCTGTTAGGATGAAGAGAATGGGAATGGAAAGGGTGAGTCTAACTTTTATATGCCTTTTATGTTCACACATCATGTGAATTGCAGTCATTAAAGCTAAATTCTTATAATTTGAGAATGTTTTGCCACTCGTTGACTAAACTTCATATGACTTGTGTTTCTTCCTCTTGCTTACATTATCACTTATATTATCATCAGTCACTGATCTGAGATGAATTAGCGGCAGAAGCAATGTCAAGATCAGGGAAACAGATGTTTGTTGCATGGCGCCTCCTAGAGCAAGTTTCCATTCTTGCACAATCAGGGAGTCCATCTGCATTCAAATCAGTCCAGTTTAAGCAGGATTACAGGAAGGAGCATGATTGATATGAGATATGTGCCATATAATTTGCAAGTTCTGACATATGAAAATGTTTCCTTATTTCCATATAAAAAATAAATAAATAAATAAAAAATAAAAAAATAAAAAATATATATATATATAAATCATGTCACAGTACTTGTATATATGAAAAAAGATGCAAATCCAGATGTCCAGATCTGAAGTGAGAAAGGTGAGTCCTAATGTCTTATTGTGCTTAACATATTGTCATAATGACATACCACTGGATCCCAGGCAATTACAATGCAAGTAAAATCCAATGATTGATACAGAGGTGCACAAGCAAACACACGCATCTACACACAGTCCACAAACACTGTAGCTTCAGATCATAGAGATTTGTGTAAGAGCTGAGAATGAAAGCCGCTTGCGACAGATCGTCTGATGATATAAGACCAGTATTGATGCTACACTAAAGGCCCACAGTTCCCAGATCAGTTTATGCGTTACTACCTCAACCTGTTTGTTGACTGTTACCATCTGTCCTCATCTTATCATGCCATCATGAGACACTGGCATCAGTATGAGCAAAACACATTCCACAGTGCCAGCCTAAACATCTATGAATGTGTGCGTTTGTGTGTCTACAGTGAGGTCCAAAAGTCCACCAGTGAAACGATTCGATTTTGAATGTTTGTCATTTAAAACAGATTATTTTTTCATTACAAATTCTAAAATTATAAATCAGCATTTTTAAATATCAACATGAATGTCAAACTGTCTTATTATGCAGTATTCCATGTTTGCTTTAATGACAGCAGCACACGTTTGTGTCCAACCTCATGATTTGTATTTTAGTTTTTCTGTTTTGATTTGAGCCTGATGAATAATGGACAGTTTTAATACATTTTTTTTTTTTTAAAGCATTTGATCTCCAGCATGACTTGAAATGATCCAAAGAGCATATTGAGCTTCAGTGGAGGAAGAACATCTGACATATTATATGATTAGTTATACTTTAAATATTTCATATATTATTTTTGATTATATGCAAGTTTGAATTAGATTTTGAATCCTCGATTTTCAGTATTTCATTTCAGTTTTTCCCCTTCTGTACAAACTATGAAGTATATTTTGTGTGTGTTGGATGCAGGGCTCCATCGGAGTCGTCTGGAGCCCATGGACACCATCTTCGTTAAGAATGTGAGGGAGAAAGGCCCTGCCCACCAGGCTGGCTTGTGTACAGGTAAAAGAGTGTGATGATATGTTCATAGAAACTACATGGCATCAGACTAAATGTTTGGTGCAATAAATTTTAATTTGAATGAATGGCTGTTAATATTTCTGTTCAGACTGATACAAACATTTACAAGCCTCAATCTGACAGAGAGAGCTTCTCATTTCCATCACACTGCAAAGAAAGCCAGCCAACCAATGAGATTAGCGTTTTTGGTCCCATGCCCATATAAGTATATGGCTTGGTGGCACTCTCAAACTGTTGTTATTACGAAATAGTATTATAATAAGTAGTATTATACAAAATAGCATTACAATTGTAATAGTAATACAGTATATATCAGAGAAAGAATCCGGAACCAGGTCTCGTCTCTTTATTCTTGTATTTAGTGTTGTTTGAGGAACACCATGCAAATACAAAAATCTGAACGACTGTTTGAAAACATTTCTTCTCCATGACAAATGATGTTAGAAATTGAAAGTTGTGTAGTGCTTTGTATACTGGGGTAATGCTGCTTTTCTATAAGCGCCACCTACTGTCAGAGAGTGGATTTGCATTATCATTCATCCCATCTGCAGCTTTTTATGCATTGGTCTGAATAGACAAATTGCATATG